CTACCACGCCTGGCTGATTTTTTGATTTATTGTACAGATGAGGTCTCGCTGCCCAGGCGGGTCTCGAACCCGCGCCTCCTCCTTTTTTTTAAGAGATGGTGTTGGCCAGGTGCGGTGGCTCGCATCTGTAACCCCAGCACTTTGGGAGGCGGCAGCAAGAGGACTGTCTGAACCCAGGGGTTCGAGACAAGCCCAGGTAACATGGTGAGCCCTCATCTCTACAATAAATCAACAAATTAGCCTGGCATGGTGGTGCGCACCTGTAGTTCCAGCTACTTGGAAGGCTGAGGCAGAAGGATCACCTGAGCCCAGTAGGTTGAGGCTGTGGTGGCTGTGATCGTGCCATTGTACTCCAGCCTGAACGACAGAGTGAGACTCTGACTCAAAACAAAGAAACAAACAAAAAGATATAGGATCTTCCTATGTTGCCCAGACTGGAGTGCAGTGGCTATTAGGAGGTGCCATCACCACACACAGTAGCCTTCAACTCCTGGGCTCAAGCAATCCTCCTCCATAGTAGTTGGGACTACAGGTGCACCACCACATCTGCTTAGAGTGTATCATTATCCTCATTGTACAGATGAGGAGACTGAGGCAAAGAGAGGTTAAATCACTTAACCAAGATCAGATAGCTAGTGAGCAGCTTAGCAGGGACTCAAACTTGCTGAGGTTTGGTCTGACTGAGAGTCCACGTTCTTAGCCACCAAATGATGCTGCCTCCGAGCGAAGAAACCAGGCCCAGGGATGAGCCATGAGTGGCCTGGGGTGTCCGTTCACGCCACCTGTTTGCTCCCTTTGGCTGGTCAGGCTCTCAACTTCTGGGGCTCAGAGCCCCCTGCACCTTGCCTCCCACACAGGGGGCTTCAGGCTCTAATTGCTCCCAGAGAAGGGACACTCACCTTGCAGGTCAGAGACCAACAGAGGATGGGGGTCCTTGGGAAAGGCGGCCTGCGTGTGGTGAAGCGAGGGCAGGAGCAGCAGTAGCAGCAAGGGCATGAAGTGGGGGGCACGGGGCATCCTGTGCGGGGCAGCTCAGGCCCCAGGGGGTGCCCCCTCACCCATATGCTGGACCTGGAAAGGGAGACAGAGACAAGTGGTGGGGGGAGGCCAAGCTCCCTCCCCACCGTGATGCCGCCAGGCTCCTCTCGCGGCCTATCCCCAGAAGACCCTGTGGGGTGGGGGGAAGAACCCTCTCGGGCACTGCCCCAGTCCCAGCCAGCTGTCATTGTCACTCAAGGCCCTTCCCCCTCCAACTGGCCCAAACTGGCTGGGGCTAGGCCTAGACATGACCCCAGGTAAGGACAGGACACGCCCGCGCCCGCGCCCCGCTCCCCCTCCCATCCTTCTCACTCAGCCTTTCCTCCCCTCCTCACTGGGACTGGGACATTCAGTAGGTGACACCTCCTGGCCCCCCTCTTGCTAACCCCTTCTCAGCTATAATTAGACACTGAAGCCTTAAAATTATAAATAGTGACTCCTTGGCACTGGGAGGAAGAAGAGGGCTCCACGTCTGCCTCCCCCTCCCTTGCAGACCCCCCACGGCACCCTGGGAGCAATGCAGGCTCTGTGCCCAGGCAGGGGCAGCTGCGTGGCTGCCACTGTCCTCTCCAGGGTTGAGGAAGACAGAGTCAGGGGAGGAGGCAGCCTAGGGGTCATTGTCCTGGTCTAAGCGCAGGCTTCAGGGGCCCTTCCCACCACCAGGGAAGAAGCTGAGTAGGGAGGGGAGTTGGGGAGGGGGGATTCTCTTAGCCAAAAATGAATCTGCATCAAAGCCAGATCAGAGCTAAATTTAGCTCTGGCTGCAGCTGTCTCCCCGACCACTGTGCCCCCTCCCAGCCTCTCTAGCCCCCTGCTCCCTCCCTGGCGCCTAAGAACCAGTGTGTACTTGATGGGGGGAAGAGTGGACCCACCCCCTAAGAGGAACAGGGGCTGGAAGGTGAGGGGAAATGGCTGACCGTGCCCCTTTTCCCCTTCCTTCCCTTATCAGGCTGCCTCTGAAATTGAAATATAAATAATTCAATGACAGGCAGGCAACTGTAGCCCAAAGTCCAGGAAAAGAAGGATATGGTGGAAGGGACGGTGAGACAGGCCTCCTTCCTGCCCACCAGCCTCCCCCACCCAGATGACGCTGGCTGGGACCCACAGGGACGGTGTACACCAGCCTCTTGCCTTCCCCGGAAACTGAAGGCCTGGTGAGCTCCACAAAGCAGGTCAGGAAAGGTGAGAATCCTTTCTTTTGTGAACAGATAACTCCCCTTAACCACTCAGCTGCCCGTCCCACCATGTCCCTTGAAAGACAGACCCTGGGCTTCCAGGTCCAACCCCCCTCCGTCTCCCCAGTAATTCCGTCTCCCCAGTAATTCCGTTCTAGGAGCCAGGACCCAAGTGCTCCTCCACCCCCAATCCAGCGTCACTGGTGGGAGGCTGACGTCAGATGGGTCCCAAGAGAGCTGGAGGAGGGGGCGGGGCAGGAACACCTAATGATGACCCCATTTCCCCAGGGGCAGAGTAGTCAGCTGGCTAACGACCCTCTGATGTTGAAAGGCTGGGCCTGCCTCCCTCCCCTCACCCTGTGTTCCCGGATGCTGGTGCTCCCGCGGGAAGAGAAAGGGACACAGCTTGTCTCCTATCCTCCCCGACCTGCCCCCGCCAAGTTGCCCTGAGCAACTGGTATCTTCACCCTGGAAACAACTTTAGTCTCTGGCAAGTGGGGACAACAGCCTGACCCTCTTCCTGCTCCCTGTTCGTGGCTGCTCCCGTCATGCCCTGCCCTCAGGAGCGGCTGCCCTTCCCTTACCTGGGGTGGTGGCTCCCACGGGGGCTTGAGGGGGCCAGAAGACCTCTGACCTGGTGGAAGACAGGACAAAAGAGGGAAGAGACTGAGTGACATCTCCCTTACTGCATGCTGTCAACGTAAATGTGAAAATCCGGGAAAAGTCTGCTGAGGCTCGAGTGCGAGAGAGGCTGCCTTGGAAGTGGGAGGGGGCCGATGACATTTAGTTTGGTTATGAAGGTGCTGGAGGCTTCAGGCCCGGGGATTTGGGGGCAGGGGATGGGGATGGCCCCTAGCTAGAAACTCCTGGAACTGCAGGGCCAGCCTTGGGAAAAGGGGTCACGGGGAGAGTTGATGAGGCATGAAGACCACTCCCTTGTTAAGCCCCTCAGAATCCAACAGCCTTCTGAGCAAAAGCGCCCTAGCTAGGGACAATAGAGGCTAATTTGCATCTCATTTACATGCTCTTCATTTCCAGGCAAATGCTCCCATAGCACCCCCAGCCCCTTCATTCCTCCACGAGAGCAGGCCCTGCCTCCCCCTCCCACCCAATCTCTCTTTACACACACACACCCCCACTTTAGGCTGTGTTGGTCCACCCGCTGAACGCGATGCTGGCCTTGGCATTGGCCCCTGGACTCAACCTGGTCTGTCTCTGAGGGCTTCCCACAGCGGCGTTTGGGGAGCCGCATCTGGGCAGCTCCCACCCAGCTCCCACCCAGCCCTGGCCCGATGAAAGGCTGGCTCTGCCCTGGAGGACTCAGCTGCTTCACACCCTGGGCCGAAGCACACGGGGGAGACCTGGCCGACTCTTCCCTTCCTAGAGCCTCCCCTTGCTGGAGAGAGGAAACAGCTTTCCCTCTGCTCCTGGCCCCGCAGCCACCTCTGGGGAGTGGCCGGGGTCACAGACAGAGGCTAGCGGAGCTGGGGAAGGGATGGAGAAGGGGAGACCGGGCTGGGGACAATAGCAGGAAGCCTTCGGGCCGGTCGTCCGCCCCAGTCCACCTTCCTCGGGCGAGCAGGGGCGCGCCAGGGAGCCTCGCAGAACTGGCGCGTTCCCTTCCCCAAGACGTTTCTCCCACCCTTCGCTCTCAGCCCGAGGCTCGCACCTACCCTCCCTCCCGCCCAGCCTCCAGCGAGGATAATCCAGGTGTCTGGAGCCTCGCCAGAGGTGGGCTTGGGGCCAGGGGCTCGACGTGTCCCCCGCTCCCCGGATCCGGGGCTCCGAGGAGGGGCGGGCGGCAGAGTCTGGGCCGGGACCGGGTCCCAGAGCCACGTTAGCGGGAGGAGGGGCTGGAGGGCCTGCAGGCGCCGACGGAGGGGGGACGCGAGCGGGGCTGGGAGCGGGGGCGGGTC